TTTGTTCTTGGGCTCCCATGAAGGTTCTGTGATCTCTGAAGTCCTTTTAATAAATCCATCTTCTGCTTAAATTAGCCAAAGTTGGTTTTTGTAGCTTGCAAAGAGCTCTGACTGCTATCCACATGGCCAGGCTGCAGCTGGCTCTCCTAGGAAGCTTCCTGGCCTCACGGCTGCCCACCTGAGGCCCCCAGGTCAGCGATGCGTTGGGAAAGGTTTGTCCCCCTGGGCCAAGTGGCCCGAGTGTGCGTGCTAAGCTGGGTGGCCCGGGGAGGTTGCTCCATCTCTCTGGCTCAGGTTGACCTGCTTCTCACACAGTTCCTTCCAGGGTAAAGTTTTACGACTCAAAAAACTTTCTTGGCAGAGCCCTGTCTGTAGCAACAACATCTTGAGAAGCAAAAAGTATCGGCACTGTGGGGGGCGGGGCAGCTCCTGGGTCTGATTCCTCCTCTGTCCTTGCATATGTGGCTGCTCGGGGAACATTTCCACGGGAATGGGTGGCCCTCCAGATGGTCAGAGAGGAAACTGGGGATCGGATTCCGAGTTTCAGGCCCTCCATCTGTCTGCATGTAGCATACCCACCCTCCGGCAGCTCCCCACGCAGGGCTTCCCGCCACCCCCCGGCCCCCAGTTCCCACGGACAGATGCCTTTTCCCAGCTGGCCGGCTGTCAAGCCCATGAGCTGGTGACTCGGCGTGTCACCATGTGACCCAAACCAGATGGTACCTGCCAACATCAGCTGCCACAGTGCCAAGACGAGCGGCAGCCTCACATGTGTCTGTGTGCGTCAGAAGGGGGGGCCTGACCGTGTAGCACCTAGTGCCTGTCCCAATGTTGCTGTCCCATCAGCCCTTGGGGCTCCACACCCCCACAGCAATGCCGTCAGCACGGCACCCACCTGTGTCCCCAAACTTCCCCCAGAGGGAGGTCTCTCTGTGTTCTTGCTGAAAAGATGAAGGCCCACGGAAAATTTCCAGCACCCGGCAGGCTGTGGGGGTTTAATAAAGGTTAATCATCATCACCGTACACCTCGGATCGGTTTCTAGAATATCCTTGGAGAGGGGCAGGAAGCTTTTGGCAGCAGCTACAATTGACACCCACTAGGAGTGACTCACCTGAACGCATAAAGCCTGTTTTGCAGGTGAGGGGAGGGGCAGGCAGCTTCCAAGAGGTCCTGGCCGCAGCTGGCCTCAGGGAGGCCTCCCTATAAGGCCGTGCAGGTGGGTCCCCCCCATGCCTTCCCAGACAAGGGCGGGGCTGCTCTCAGAGAAGGGTCCTGAGGGCCAAGCAGGAGGGGACAAAGACCAGACACTCTGAGTGCCTGCTGTATGGCCTTGCTCAAGTCCCTCTTCCTACCTAGGCCTCTGTCTCCCCTGCTCTAACATCAAGGCAGCTACTACCTGTGCACTGAGCGGTTTACACGTCACCCCATTTAGCCCACAATGTGGGTACTGCTATTGACTTCTGCTCAGAACGCTCACGTGGCCCCCACAGCTGGTGGCAGGAAGCAGCCTCCAGTGTGAAGAGCTGAGATTTGAACCTGGGACGTCTGACTCCAGAGCTCAGGCCTGGACGGCTCCACTCCGCTGACAGCCTGGGCCCCGGTAAAGAAAGGGTGCTGGGCTGATGCTGGCCCGAGCCAGACGGGAGACTCAAGTCTCAGAGGGGCGAGGGGTCAGACACCCCCAAAATGAAGCCATATTGTCAGCACCTGTCCTGACCTGTGTCAGCACAGTCACCTGACAGCACAGAGGGGAAGGGACACAGCCAAGGCCAGTCCCGTCAACAGAGCTTCAGTAACCTGAGTAGCCACAGAGTGGGAAGTGTCCACCTCTCCTGCCTGGAGACACAGAGGACTGACCCAGCGCTGGCTCTGGGGCCAATCGGGGGTCAAGGTTGGAGCGTGAGGCCCTTGGGCCATGACAGGGGAGCTTGGCTGGGTTGGGTCCGAAACTGGGCACAGTATGAGCGGAGAGCAAGGGGGTGCCTGCCGAGAGAGAAGGGGAGGCCCGACGGGCAAATCAGAGCTGTCCCAGGGGGACCACGGCCAGGCTTCCAGGGGGACGGGCAAGCATCGTAGGGCCTGCCCAGGTGCGGGGACCCGGAGTGACCGACATCCTGGGGCCAGGGTGAGTGACAGCCAGAAGCCCTTATCAGGTGCCACTGCTGGCAGCCAGGGTTCATTCATTCAGTCACTCATTTGTCTAATATTTCTGGAGCACCCACAGATGTGCCGGGCACTGTCCTGGCCTTCGAAGTTTCCGCTGTGAACAAGACCAACGTGGTCTGTGTCCCTGTTGAGTTTGATAACCGAGGAGGGGGACAGAGAAGGACTCCTTAGAGTGTGTGATAAGGCCCCTGAAACCTGGCCACCCGCCTTCCCACAGGGATGCCCACCCTTCAGCCACACGTGCTCTCTACCCCCTTCTCTGGCCAAGCCTTGGTCCGGCCCCCCTCTGTCCTGGCCCCCAGCCTTGCCTCCCCGGGTGCCCCCGCCTGGCCACTCGCCCATGTCATGCAAGGCCTGCCGCAGGGGCCTGCCCTGAGTAGCTCGGAGGGTGGGCTGAGGCCAGGAAGCCAGGTGTGACTTGGGGATTACTCCGGCTCCCCGCCAGGCTGCACCGCTGTGGGCTCCGCCTCCAGCCCTCACCAGCAGGCCCCCACCCACCGTCCTCACTGGCTGTGTGACCTGGAGCAGTCCCTCCACCTCTCCAAGTCTGTCCCATCTGGGAGAGGGGAAATCCAGGCCCTGCACCAGGCGGAGGCTCCAGAACCACCGAGGCTTAGCATTGTCCCCTCCTAGATCTCTTTCCTGCTGCCCCAGTCCCTGGGTCATCCTGTCCTCACACAGACCCTCGGGCTGGGGCCCGGGACCCTCACAGGGAGGCCAGATGAGCTGTCTGGAAAGGGGCTGCCAGGGAGAGGGCAGGGGCTGAGGGATCGACCACGGGGGGCTGCCTAGCACCCTCCCCTTGGGCGGGGTCCACAGCTCCAGCTCAGGGAACTGTGAAGCAGCCCCAGGTCACATGGCCTGGAATCTGGGAGCAGGATGATGGGAGAGGGGGAGGCAACAGACAGAGGGTGTCATCAGGCTCCGGTGTCCCCGACACCCTATCTCCCATTGTGCCAGAGGTGGGGGGTGAGCAGGAAACACAAGCTGTAAGAAGACACCGACAGGGACAGGAAATGGAGAAGGGGAGTGTGGCGCGGGGGCGTCAGTCCTGTGAGTCTCTGTCCATCTGTTTTTGTGTGTCTGTGTCTGGCCTACGTGTGTTGATATGCCTCTAGGTCTGCCCACATATATGTATGTATGTCTGCATGTAGAAGCACTGTGGGTGTTCGTGTGAAGACCTGTGTTTATGTACATGCTTGTTTTGTGTTTCCATGTTTTCCTGTGTGGTTGTTAGTGAGTCTACGTGTACTTGTCTGCTCGAATTGTTGTATCCACATGTGTTTGTATGTGCATGTCTGTGGGGTCTGTGTGCATCTTGCGTTTGTGTGTGCTTTGGTGAGTGTGTGTGGCAGTGGATGGGAGGGCTTGGCTGCCCCTAGCATCTCCCCACCTCACTGTGGCCAGGCCTAGGTTGGGGTCCAGCCCAGGTGGCAAATCTCTAGTGTGGTGACTCACCCCTAATGTTGGGGACCATAGACCAACAAGCTCCAGCCAGACTGTGGGCTATCACTGGGTCCCGGGTATGGCTGGGTTTGTAGCTGAGAGACTCTGTCTCCTCCCCCTCTCCTCCAGTGCTGGAACCTGCTGGAGACGTCCACATGCCACCTGGAGCTCCAGCCAGGCCACTGACAGCTCCTGGACCCACCACTTAGGACGGCTGGGGACAGCCAGGCCCCAGGGCTGGCAGGGCTGCTCCCCAGACACCCGCCACTAGGCAGGGGAGGGTGGGGAAGCGGCTGCCGGACCACTGAGTTGCCCCTCTGCATGCTGGGCTGGCCTGCGAGGTGCAGGGGACGTCCTCAACCTAGGGCTGCTGCTGTCTTTCTGTCCTGTGTGACCTGGAGCAGCTCATGTACCCGCTATGGTCCAGCTTCCTCATTTATAAAATAAGGAGCTGGCACCAGCAGGGCGGCCGCCCACGGCTGTAGAGTTGCACCCTGCACAAACGCGCTGGGGAGGTGACAGGCGCTGAGAGGCAGCCCCGACTCTGCCTCACCGGCTGAAGGCCCTGGGCCTAGGGGAGCCTCGTCCCGGTTCTCACCAAGGGCCTGCACCAAGGCCCCAGCCTTTTCTAGCAGCCCCACCGCCCCCTGTGTTGGTATCCATGTGTCCATCCATCATGGACCCTCCTCCGTCTGTCTCTGGAGAGAGATCTCTGGGACTCCTCCTGCCCCCGTCCTCCCCTCTCCTTCAAACCACCCAGTACGGGACCCAGAAGGGCCCGCAAGTCCTGCCTGACCTCCCGCCCATTTTATAGACCAGGTATCTGAGGCCTCTCAACGCATCCCCACCCACGTCCGCCTCCCTCTCTTCCCTGGCCCACCTGCCTTCTCCCCAGGGCTTCCTCCCTTCCACACTTGACCTACTATCTAGCACAGCCCATAGGAGAGCCCTTGACAGGAGTAGAAACTGGGTCTCAAGAGTGAAGTGCCTTGTCTACAGTGTCACCGGGCGTCTAAGCGGGCCTCCCCGACTCCGCATCTGGCCCTTGCCCCTCTGCTCTCGCCTTTTCCCAGCCACCCCTGACAGCCACAGACACACCACTCTGCTTCACTGCTCTTTATTTCATTAGGAAAGTGACTGGGCGGGGGGTCCCTGGGGCACTGGAGAGGAAAATGGGACAGTGGCCGGCTCCTGTCCCATTGGGCTGGCAAACCTGTGGGGAACAAAGACAAGGCCTGCGGGACTCTGGGGGACCCCGGACTGGGGTCCACAGGCAGGGCTTCCTTGACTCAGGCCTTGGGAGGTGGGGTTGCCCCTCAATAGTCACTCCCAGAAGGGGAGCAGCTGCTGGTGGGGCCCCCAGGCCTTACCCAGCCCTTACTCAGGCTCAGTAGGGTGCGTTGAAGCGGCTGCTGTGAGGTGCGGAGCAGTAGAAGGGGTCAGCTGAGATCAGGGTTCTGCAGGGAGGAAAGGGTCGTGACGAGGGAGGGGTGGGGCCGCGAGCCCCGAGGGGCCAGCACTCTGCCAGGGCAGCCAAGCCACGGACATTCTTTGCCTTCCAGCTCGGGGCCATTGTCGGTATAAACGTAATTTTTGAGGAATTGGGTTGCACAGAAGGGTGTCAGAGTGAGGCATAACCACAGCCCATTCAGTTTTGTTCCCCCTCCCCCTCCCCCACGCAGCCTGGCAGGGAGCAGGTGCAGAAGTGGCCTCTGGTCGCTGGGGGGAGGAGGGGAGCCCTGTGGGCAGGAGAAGCAACGGACAAGCCAGAGAGAGGACATGGGCTTCTCAGAAGGACAGACAGATGGAAGGAAGGAGGAGAGGCTAGGGAAAGGCCTGGAAATAGCCAAGGAGAGAGCAGGAGGGAGGGAGGGCATCTTACCTCCCCACGTGGGGGTGCAGGTGCCTCAGGTTCTCCGTGGGGTTGGGGGTGGCCTCCATGCGAGTGACTGGCTGGTTGAGGGCATAGCCTCCAGGCTTCTGCGGCTGGATGCCACCTCGAGTCCAGCCTTCACGGTCTAGCCCCTTGGGGATGTTCTCAAAGTACCTGCAGCACAGGAGGGGCTGTGGGCGGGAAGCTGGCCCCTGCCCTCCTCAGCAGCCTCTCTGCCCTCCCCACCGGGAGTCGCGGCTCCAGGAAAGCACCGGCTGCCTCGGCGTTTGCCTTCCCCACAGGCTGTGAGCTCATTACTTGTGCCAGCCCCAGTCTCCCTGTCTGCAGCGTCAGCTTCACAGCCCCAGATCTGGGCAGGGAAGGGGCTCACCCTTGGTTGTAGGTGGTCAGGTAGTGGTTATCCAAGTCCGTATCACAGGGGCTCCGCACGTAGCTAGTGTTGTTGAGGCTGTACCCTGTGGGCTCCTGCGAAACAGGGACAGAGGGGACCTGTCAGGTCCAGAGAGGGTAGGGATTGGAGCTGGGGGGTGGATACCCCAGGCCTCACCTTGTTCCCCACGATCTCCCGGCCAGGCAGGGCGACATTTGTCTGCTGCACCCGCTGGGGGTGCTGGAACTGCCAGTGGCTCATGCTGCTGAGTTCTGGGCCCGGAGGGCGCACCTGCAGGGGACGGAAGGGCGAGGAGCGTGGCTGGATGGCCAGGCCGAGGCCTCAAGGAAGGAGGGGGTCAGGCAGAGGCACCTGTAGCCACAACCTGCCCCAGACCCACAGCCCTGCCATGCTCTCCGCCTCACACAATTCAGTTTCCAACACGCCCTCCCTTCCAGCGCCTCCTCGGCCCTGTTTACCGCCCACAGGGGTCCAAATACCCTGATTCCTCCTGCGCGTCAGGGCCAGCCCCAGTCCCAGGAGCCCCGTCTCCTCCCCTCTGACTGCCCCTTCAACAAGGGGGCCGAGGCCACTTACTCTGGAGTTGAGAGTCCTCTCACTTACTCGGCTGAAGCCCGTCTCCCGCTCAGAGCCTCTGGCCAGCGGGGGCAGCAGCTCATCCCCCTGAGACAGCGAAGCAGCTGCTGGGACCCGAGCTTGGGCCTGTGTGCCCTTCCCAGCGCTGTCCCAATTGCCTCACAGGGAGCCCCAACTGTGGGACAGGCGCCCCTCCCCGGGCTGCGGCTGCGCTTACATGAGGGTAGGTCACAGGGAGAAAGTCCGACTTGGTGACAGTCTGGCCGGGAAGGAGCACCTGGAAAGAGGCGGCAGAGGAGCGCTCAGCACAGATGGGCATCACAGGGTAACAGGAAAGGGGAGCGCTGGGGGAGAGCTGAGAGGAGGCCCTGCCGCACACGCGCGGGCACCGGTCAGCAGCCCTCCTCTGAATGCTGAGCGACCTTGGCTACGCAGCTCCTGCTCTTTACACCTCAGGCTTCTCATCCACAAAGTGGGCGTATTGGGCCAAAGTAGTAGTTTTCGCTCAAGTTCTTTCACCTTGTGTTGGAACAAAAGTGTCTGCTGATCATTTTTTTTTTTAAAGCTAGAAATTCCCTGACTGGGGGGCTTCAATCTTCCTGAGACTCTAGAGGGGCCCAGCCTTACTTACTGGGTCCCCAGGCAGGGCCTGAGAGGGCGGCTGGAAGACAATAGGGTTCTTAGTGGATTCCTTGGTGAAGCCGGTGTCCTCCTTGGCACCAATAGATTTCTTCTGCAAGAGATCTACAAAAGACAGTGCTCCTGTGCTCTGCGGCCACCTGCCCCCACCCACGCGACCTCCAGAGGCTCAGGGTCCCAGTGGGCAGGGAGGGAGCCGGCTCCGAGGATCCAGAGGCCTGAACCTCCAGGACCATGGGCACCTGGAGGAATCCAGAACCCAGGGCAGAAAAGGAGGGAGGAGCAGAAGGAAGGGCAGGGCCAGCAGGCCGGCGGGCCCTGCGTCGGGGGTGAGCTGTCTGTCGCGGTTTGGCAGACCTAAGGCACGGGGGCAGCCCAGGGAGACAGTTCCCCCATGCTGCCTGTGTGCTCTTCTTTCTTCCACTGGTGCCTCCTTAGTGTAGTACCAGCCCCAGGCCCCCAGGGGTCTCTCCTGGGGTGTCTGCTAAGGTCGGGGGTAGGGAGGTACAGTGGGAGGGAGGTATGAGCTCAGACAAGCGCCCACCTGGCTGGCATGAAAGCTCCTTGAGATACTTGGAATTATACTCAGACGTCATGAAGCGTGGGCCCTGGAACACAGAGGGCGGAGCAATGGGGGATGCGGGTAGGCCGGGGTCCAGAAGGCAACCCAGTGGCAGGGTAGCTCTTCGGAGTTTGTGCTCCGGGCAGACCTGTGTGGCATGTTCTGAGACGTGGGGGCCAGGACGACACCCCTGACACAAACTCCCCTTTGATCAGGCAGCCCAGTGACGGAAATTCACGGGAGCACTGTTCCCCGGCAACAATGGAAACTAAGTCACAGCCCACACGGGACTCCTAGTAATGGGCAAGGGGGCCTGGAGCCCCCAGGACCCAGGCCAGGAGGGGCCCACAGAGAGGAGAGACACCGAAGGAAGTAAATGGGGGCTCACGACACAGTTCAGTGCCTGGATTCAAGGCATCCGGATCGGGGAGAGAGGAAAAGGGAGCCTGGGCGTTAACTCCTAAACTACAGATAAGGACAACTTTGAGGCTGTCTCAGAAATTATCAAATCCTTTGCTCAACCCAGTGTTTCTTGGTGCCCTGAGCCCATATTTAGTCGGCCTCTAGAGTGTGCTGCCGGGGAAGGAGGAGATGGGCCGGCCCCTCTGCCCCGCCCACAGCCTGCCTGGGGTGGGGGGAGGGGTCCGCCCGCCCACTCACGTGTCGGTTGTTCTCCCACTCCAGGGAGCCCTTGTTCTGCTGCTGGTGAAGCAGGGGCACGTGCTTGGGCTCCAGCCCTGTGATGGACTGAGGCCCATAGTCCTGGGTGTCAAAATGGACCTTTCTGACCTGGGAGGATGGAGCAACCAATTACCCTCCTGGTGAGGGGCTGGCAGTCACTTCCTGCCTCTGATTCTGTGCTTGACTCCTACAGAATATCTGCACAGCCGCCTAAGGGGTCGCTTTACGTTGAGGTTCGGTCCTATCCCTCCTGTGCTCACAGCTCTGCAGTGTTCACAGTGCATTCAGAGTAGACTCCCGCACCCCGACGGCAGCCCACGAGGCCCTCGCCTCCCCTTCCTCCCAGTACCTGCCCCCTTGCTGTCCGTCCTCACATCAGACCCCCCTCAACGTCCTGCCTCAGGGCCTTTGCACTTGCTGTCCGCAAGGCCTGGAACACTCCTCCCTCCTATAACAACCTCCCTCAAGTCTTTGTCTAATGTCTCCATAGCAACCTTCTCTGACCCTCCTGATTCGCAGTTGTAGCCCCTTCCCTTCTGCTTCACCCCCTGCATCTTCCCTGTTGTAGGTTTCCCCTAGCATTTATCACCTTCAAATATAGATGTTCAGATCATTGGTTGAATGAATGAATGAGTATCTGGTGGGGATGTTGATGATAAGAATGATGGTCATAAGAAAGAGAGAAGTGAAGGGAAGGATGATAAGGACACAAGTGAATGGGAGCCCGATGGGGAGAATGTGATGTGGGCTCAGAGACGTGGGCGGGAGGGCAGAGACCCTGGGGTGGGGTTGGGGCTGGGGTGGGGCGGGAATGGGACTGGAGATGGGCATGGGGATGGAAACGGAGGGGGTGGGGAGGGAGGGGACGGGGATGAGGGGAAAGGTGATAAATGTGAGTAGACTCCAGGCTACATTGTGGCTCCTTCATACCCAGACATGTCATCCTTGACCAACCCTTGGCAGGGCAGTCCCATCCTGCTGGAGGAATCCCCACTCTTCCCACCCCCCATCCCTAAACCCCAACCCCAACCTGGGGCTCCCCTGGCCCTGGCCCTGGCCCAGCACTGACCTCCTTGGTGGGGGGTACCGAATTGGCCTTCTCCAGAGAGTAGCCGGAGGTGGTCTGGTACAAGCTGCCAGGCAGTGGGTTTTTGCCATCAGGCACCTCCAGGGGGCGGTAACTCTGACTGGTTACTGACTGGAAATTGTCCTGGACCTGTTCCCTGAGGGTGGAGCAGGAGCCATTACTACCAGGGCCTTCGATGCTCATGTCTAGAAGCTTTCCGCCTCCCTCAAAGTGCCCACAGATGCCTCCAAAACCCCTTGGGCCCAAGGCTAGGTGCCAAGCCCTGAGTGCCCCAGGGCCCCAGACCCAGGTGGGCAAGGCTCAGGATCCCCATGCATGGATGTCCATGAGAGCTAAGGCCCAGCAGGCCAGGGGGCGAGACGGGGGCATACAGACCATACCCTGTGGCTGGATTGTCCAGGGCATTGAGACTGGCTTGGTTTGAGACCACAGGTCGATAATTCGACTTGTAGCCAGTGCCTTTGTGGCTGCCAATGCGGGGCTTGAACTCCTCCCGACCTGCCAGAGGGGAAACAGCGAGTCAGAACCCAAGGTCAGCAGAACGGGAGAGCAGAAGGAGGGCTTCCCAGGCAGGGCCAGAAGCCCCCCAGGGCCCGGGGGTCCCAGGGACAGGAACAGGTGTGACGGAGAAAAAGTACAACTCTGACAGAGGGAATGGAGTCACCAGGATGGGGACCAGGTCAGTGTGGCAGAATCACAGGATGGATTCATGGGTTGGGTCTCCAGGGCAGGGCCAGCCGACAGCACGGGTGTGGACCCGGTCCTTGGGGGCTCAGGGGACCAGGCAGATCAGGAGGCTGGGGTCACCCTGATTGTGTGACAGGCCAGAGGGGCTGCTTCCCCCCCAACTGCAGGGCCTCCCCTGTCCTGTCTGTGTCCTGGGGGCGGGTCCTACACAAAGGTTGCCCTCACCATAGGCTATGCAGTAGCTGGTGGCGTAGAACTTCAGGGGGTCTGTGCAGCCCCCGGAACTCATTTTCACGTAAGGGGAGACGACCCCCAGGGGGAGTTTCCCCATCATGGTGCCTTGGGGCAGGGCCCCAGGGGGCCTAGGAAGGAAGCACAAACAGCCTGGGCCGTCCAGCAGCCCCAGGACCCCAAGCTGTCCCCCTCCACCAACACCCACACGTCCGACTGAAGAAAGCACTAGTCATTGTCAACGTTCACCTCGTGTGCACGGTCTCATTTCCCCTTCCCCACACCTTATCATGAATTCCCCATTTTATAGCCCAGAAACTGAGGTCCCAAGTAATAAAGGATTAGCCCATAATAAGTGGTAGAGCCAGAGCTCAGGCCCAGGGTATCTGACTCCTTGGCCCCTTAACCCCACACACTGTCCTGTGGGGTCTGATGGACAGACAACCTCTGGCCAGTCTGGGAACACTTGGCTGCTCGAGCTGAACATTCAATCCCAGCCCCAGGCTCCTTGTCTCTCCTTTGACTCCCTGGGTCTTGCCCACCTCCCACCCAAAGTTGGCTCTGCTCTCCCCGGGGGCCCAACCGCAGCTGGCCCCACCCTCACCTGCCCTCCGCAGTGGCTCTGAGGTCTGGGAGAGGCTGCAGGAGGCAGGAGCTAGCTGCTCCAGGGAAGCCTGGGCCCTTGGGAGGTGGCCAGGCCAGAAGAAACAGTGCGTTGCCTAGCAACTGGCGCCTAGCAACAGCGTCCCATGCTTCCGAAGGCCTTCTAGGGCCAGGGCTCACTGAGGTGCTGACTTGGCCAGGAGAGGGTGCCAGGAGCTGCTCAGGCAAGGTCCTCGCACTGGCCCCCCTCACCAGCTGCCCCCGCCAGGGCCTGGCAGAGCTCTTGTCTGAGTGACACAAAATTAAAGATAATCCCAAACAATCACTCCCATTTATTGAGTACCCACTTCTCACCAGACACTTTACATCCTTTATCTCCAGGGCTCTCAGTAGCTCTTCCAGGTAGCTATTATCATCCCTCTTGTCACACAGAGAAAATGAAGTTTAGACAAGCAAAGTGCAATCAGAAAATAGGGCTGATATTCCGACATGGGTGGGTCCAGACCCCACTCAGCCTCTCGGTAAATTAACATTTGCTGTGCTCTGCTGTGTCAGGCTCCTCTACACACATCACCTGCTGGAACCGTCCCCAAACTACCCTGCAAGCTGTGTTTGCAGGCCCAGAAGACCACAGTGGTTGAGGGTGTGGTTCACACCAGGTCTGAAGCCTTTGATGAGGTACTTATCCTCTCAACGGCCCCATTTCCTCACCGTCACCCAGAGCTGTCACGGGCCCTGCGTCACAGGGCTGATGACAGCGGGGACTCAGCACCTGACAGGTAAGCGTGGCAGGCGCTGACCCCCCAGAGTCATGATCCCGGTCAGGGCTCAGAAGCTGCAGGGCCGAAGGGAATGCACACAGCCCCGCCCTCCAGAGAGGAGCTTCCCTTCTAATGACAGAGGTTTGCTTGAGCCCCACCCAGGAAACACGGGACAGGCTGCCACGGGTCGGGGAGGTCATCCAGGGTGAAGGGAAGGGTTGGCTCTCCTCAAAGTGCCCGCAGAGAAGCGGTCACAAGCAAGGCTCAGGTTCTGAAGCCAGCTGGCAGGAGGCCTGGCTCTGCCACATAATAACCAGAAGACTTGATGCCTGTTACTTGTGCCTCAGTTTCCCCTTCTGGAAAGTGGGGTTAATAATGGCAGCCACCCACGGGGTCATGGTACATATAAAGCACTCAGCCCAGTAATGACACACTTAGATGGTAAGTGCCATCTTAGAGTTAGGGAGAGACCTTGGCAAAGACCTGGACCCAAGGGTGACAAACAGAAATTCCACATGGCCCTGCCCTCAGGGAGCCCCCGGTCTGCAGGGGTCTCAGACCCAGCCAGTGCGATGCGGCCAAAGAAAGCTCAATTCGAGAGCCTGGGAGGCCTGAGCTCAAAAGCCACTTCCGCCACTCCAGAGCTGTGCGACTCCAGCCTTCAGCTTTCTGAACCCGTTTCTGCACCTGGAAGGGAGAAACACGGCCCTGCCTGGTAGGGTTTTTGGTCGATCTGAAATACCCTAGGCAGCAGGCTTGCACCAGGCGGAGGTGAGGGACGGCGCTCCCCGTGTGGAAGGCCCCGCAGCGCTAAGGCGGGGTGCCTGGCTTGCTGGGAGCAGGGGTGACTGGTTCCCGGCGGCGGGGCACTCTGTAGAGAGGAGGTGGGAAGCAGCTCCAGCGAGGAGGGAGGCTGTGGCGAGGTTTTCCTTTTAGCAAGGAGGTAGACGGTTTGAAATGATCCCGTAGCACTGGAAGGGAAGCTCTTGAGCTGGGAACGGCCTGGACTGGAACCTACAAAAGACTTGGGCAGGAATTCCGGAGGCGGAGGCCCTCCCAGCCTGAACTCCCATTAGGGCCACCAGCTGCACGCTTCTTGGTAGCTGGGGGGGTTTTTTGCTGTGGGGCGACACCCAGCGTCTGTAACGCGGAACTGCAGGAGAGGCAGCAGGTGCTGCCTTCGTAAGGCTGCAGGACTCCTGGAGATGCGCAAGGAGGGAGCAAAGCGACCAGATCGCCCCACAGACAGGCTGCGGTGGCGTCAGCTGTGACTCGGCATTGCGCCAAGCCTGCTGGGCTGTGCTGGCAACCCCTCTGTAGTGCTGTGAGACTCTAGCAGTGAGCTCAACACCACTTGGTTCCCAACAGACAGACTGTCCTGGCTGAATGGTAATCTCTTTCTCCTTCCCAGGCTTGCCCAGTTCTGAGCAGTAAGATTGGAGGCAGGGGTCCAGATAACAGGGCTGACCCTGGTCACCAGCAGCTCCCCCTCCTCCTGCCAAAGCCTGGATGATGGAGGCTCTGGAACCAGCAGCAGGACATTTGGGGGCCCTGGCCCGTGGAACTCCTTAGTGGGACCAATGGGAGCAGGTCCTGACAGGCATGTGAGGCCAGGGGACACCACCCTTTGGCGGCTTAGTCCTGAACGGGGACAGACTCTTGCACTCTGTGCTCCGGGCTACACTACGCAAGCTTCAGGCCCCTAAAGAATGGTCGGCTCAGGCAGAGCGGACAGCACAGCACCAAGCTTGGTGCCTGTCGCTTTGGGTGACGTGTGTTTTCGTGGCTGGTCTCAGAGAACAGAGCCAGGGCTCTTATCAGGAAGTTAAAGCAGGGAAAAGCTTCTGACCACACCCAATCTTCTAAGGGGAACAGGCTGTCCTGGGCAGGGGACGGGGTGGGGAGCGAAGTCTCTGTCCAGGCAGCGCGCAAGCAGAAGTGTAAATCTGCTTGAATCTGGATGGCGATGCTAGCAAACTCTCATCCAGTGTTTATTAGGTACCAGGTGCCATCCTAGACTCCACGCCTGTTAACAGATTTAACCCTCACCACTGTACGGTGGGTTCCTTTGTGGTGGGCAGTTCCAGCACCTTCATTTCATAGGCGAAGAAACTGAGGCCTAGAAAGGCTGTAGAACTTGTCCAGCCAATAAACTAGGGGAGGGGTGATTATTAGAATCCAGGCAAGCTGGCTTCAAAGGTCATACAGCTTTAATATTACTATTTTCAAAATCTGCGCTTCAATGACAGTGAAAAAAAAAGTCTTGTTTAAAAACTGATCCTCCCATACTCTCTCCTGTACCCAGCTCCTTGGTGTGTGCTGGGCACTGCTGGGCAAAAATCCACAGGAGAAAGGTTTAAAATCATCTAAACTGGCCAAGATGAGTAAAAAGTAGAACACAGGGCTCTGGGACACAGCTGAGGGAACTGAGCCATCACAGAGCAGGAGGCTCAAAGTGACGGGGAGAGGGGAATTTGTTCTATCTATACTTTTCTTAAAAAAATTGTTGTAAATATGTATGTCAAAAATTTACCACTTTAGCCATTTTTCAGTATGCAGTTCTGTGGCACTAGTACAAGCACAACATTGCCCAAGCATCGTCACCGTCCATCTCTAGAACGTTGGCGTCTTCCCAGACTGAAATTCTGTGCCCACAAAACAGGAACTCCCTTCCCCACCCCCGGCCCCTGGCAACCACCACGTGATGTTTTGTCTCTGCGAAGTTCACTGTTCCAGGAACCTCATGTGAAGAGGAAACATATATTTGTCCTCTTCTGTCTGGTTTATTTCACTTCACATAATGTCCTCAAGAGTCATCCACACCGTAGCAGGTGGCAGAATTTCCTTCTTTTTTAAGGCTGAATAATATTCCACTCTGTGTACATACCACGTGTTGTTTATCCACTCATCCATAGGTGGACACGTGGGCGGTGTCCATCTTTTAGCTATTGTGAATAATAATTCCATGAACGTGGGTGTACAAGTATCTCTTTGAGTCCTTGCTTTCAGTTCTTTTGGGTATGTACGCAGAAGTGAAATTGCTGGATCATATTATACTTTTGAAGACCCTCTGCTGAGGGCCAGGGCAGGCCCGAAGGGTAATGTTTCCTGGGCCCCGAGACAAAGGGTGCTGGGGAGGATGGATGGGATCAAGGGTGGCCCCCAGGTAAGGTCTGGGCTGAGCACCTTTAGCCTGGAGAAGAAGAGGCAGGGGTGCTCATGTCTTGGGTGAGCCTGGGTCACATCCCTGCTCCTTTCTGAGCCTCTTCTAAAACTTGGATTTGAGGTCTGGCTCTGGTCCAAACAGTGCTGTGTGACTTTTCTTTAGTAATCACCCACCTCTGGTCCTGCTGCCTGTGAAAAGCAGGGGCTGGTCCTGCCTAGGAGGTTTGGCTTCTTTGTTTTTAGTTTGAGATGTGCCATTTGTTTGGCCTCGGGCCTTGGAACTCTTTGTTCAAATGGATATTGAAATGATGGTTGTCTACTCCCCACCTCCCTCCTCATCTGGGAGGCAGCAGAACCCCAGCCCCCCATCCTGCAACATCCTCCCCCTCTGCCTTGTTACTGGGGAGCGGGGCCTGGCCCCCTGGGGCCTCGGGACCCACATCCGCAGGCCCTCCCTGCCCAGACCCTCAGGTGCATCCACAGGGGCCCAGGGTCCACTGAGCAGAGCTCACCAAACCCTTCTCCTGCCAACGGGAGCTCTGCTGTTGAGCCCAGATTTTTCTGAGGCCACCTA